ATGAGATTTCTTCCAACAACCGGTTCTCTCAACTGCTTAGAAAGTTAACAACCGGTTCTCCCGGATAGGTGCGAACCGGCTGAATCCCACCACTGACGAGTTCGCTCCGGAGCGCTGGATGTCGTGCTCCTTACTAGGCGATATCATCAGCATTAGCACCCGCTCAGAAGCTCCCCAAATTCACTGAACAAACGTTTCGCTTAGCCACGAAGATCTGGGGCTCAGATTGTGGCCGTTAAGTTGAAAACTACCTCTATTTTCATGACTGCCAACTTAGGAAGCTTCCTAAGATCACGGTGGCAAACAAAACTGAACTGACCCCCGGGGAATAATTTAAAAAAAATAAAAAAATAAATTCCCTTTCAGGTATTCGAGGTCAGAGAAAGCCAACCGCGTCTCACTCTGTAAACATCAGAAATCCCAGGAGATTTGCAAACATCGCTGGAACACCGTGAGCCGAGAGGGGCTTGGATAAATAATTCTTCCGAGACAAGTTACTGTGCAACTGCTATATTAGCAGTTTGTTTATTTTTAGATGTTCATGAAACATGCTGTGCTTCAAGATCTAAAGCTAGGAACCAACACCCTTTCGTCAGCCAGAAACAGCAGGCTACATTCAGGGGAAGACAAGACTCCTTGACCTGGGAGGGACCTGGGAGGTCTTCTAGTCCAACCCCATACTCACGGCAGTGGGTCTTTGGTGCTTATATGTAGCTGTTATAGAAGGAGACCTTATATCGTTGAAGGGATGCAGCTAGAGAGGACGGCTGGTATTAAAGCGGGATCAAGGGGGGGGGAGGGATAAGGCACCCCCTAATTCCCAGTCTACAATACAGTTGTAAGAAGGCTCCATATATGGTACTTAGGAAAAACGGTTAGAGTTCAAGCCAGAACTATTTCTATTAGGCATTATATCAGATGGCTATGATAATGGGACAATGTACCTTATATTACACATCCTGACCGCAGCAAGAATGGTGCGTGCGCAGCAGTGGAAGAGTGAAAACACCCCTTCAGAGGAGGAGACAATAAGGGAGATACTCGTCTGCGCAGAAATGGACAGACTAACGTTAAACATAAAAGACAAAGGAGAGGCAGAATAGTGTGACACATGGAGCAGATTCTATCAATGGTTAGAAGCACGAGGTGGAAGTCGGAATACGGAAAAACTAGGGTAGGGAGACCTGGAATGAGAGGCCATTCCCCTGAAAATAAGCCCTCCCCAGATAATAAGCCCAACTGAGCTTTTGAGTGCATGCGTTAAAATAAGCCCTTCACGGAAAATAAGCCCTCCCTGGAAATATTGCAACACAGCAGCAGCCATGAGGTGGCCATGC